GTTCCAAGATCTGGGTCACTTCGTGGACCTTCCTATTTCAAGTCATCCTCCCTTCGAGAGAGTTTGCAGTGGGCACCTCTGGTAGTGGGACAGTGGAAATGGACTTCTCTTTGCCACCGCACCTGGATTAGTGCAAAGCTTTCATCACACGCTTGACAGGAAGCTGACACTGTCAGGGGACAGCTGGAGAACTAGAGCTAAAACACTGACTAAACCTGGCTTGCTGTGCTGATTAACTTGATTGACCTGTTCAACTTTATCTCATGCAGATTATGCTTTTCTGAGCCTAGAGAAGGTATGTGTGTGGTATGTTTTCTATGCAATACACCTATGTACATAACACATGCCAATGTATACACACATACAGTACACATATGAAAACACAAGTCTGAAAATGCACTGAGATAAAACTGAGAATATGTGTGGGGTGGGAAAAAGTAGGGCAAGAAAGAGGTAAAGCAAATGCTTTTAAATAGGTATGTGTCCTTGAAGTGTCCTTGAAGTACCTGGCAGTCACTCCAGAGAGAGGCTTCTTAGAAGACCCCCGCAGACTTCCGAAGAGTCAGACTTTGCATGAACAGAATCCAGACACCATGGGATAGACATATTTGGACGCTGTTGATGAAATATTTAGTGAATTTGCTCATTCATTTGTCCAATATCTTTTTTGCCAATATTTTCTGAGTGTTTCCCCTACTCCTCTTCAAACTAGAGGGACAGATTAAAAAGAAATGTTATTCCAGAGGAGAAGGAGGGAAGAGGTTGAAAATGATCGAGATGTGTCATGAGACCAGACCAGTTCCTCCACACAGTAATTAGGAAAAATTTTTCAATTTCACAAAAGAAATCTTTTACCTAAAGGCCCCTCAAGATTCTCCCAAATCTTGGCGAAGGAAGCAGGCAAGTGACTGTAGTCACAACACACGTGTGTTAATTCCTCATGCATGGAACTACAGCGGCTCTGAGACCCTCTGTGGCAGAGGGCCCTGCACCAGGAAGAGGCACCAGGCCCAGCTCCAGCGCCGCAGAACCGGGGAGCAGGAGGTGCGGGGGCCTCTTTGCTCTCAGGATGAAAAGGCGGGAAGAGTAGTAGGAGCCACTGGCCTGGGGGAGCAGCAGTTTAATAAGTCACAAGGCTGTGGAGAGCTGGATGAGTTTGCGCTAGGGAGGCCGCTGGGAAGGACCCAGGGAACAGAAGTCTCAAATGCTGTACTCCTGTTTCTCTCTGCTGTCAGCTTCTGGTTTATGTCTTCCCCGCCACAGAGACTCCCACTGACTGATGCGGAGTATACTTAAAAGCAGACAAATGGTGTGAATATTCTGCAACAATGCATAAGATTCTAATAAGATTACTGACATTTAGAAATTTGAAGAAAGGAGCTAAAGGTGTAGGGAAGGTGTGATGCATAGGGGAAGAACAAAAAGGGAAAAGAAAAAAATGTGAGAGAATGAAAAGATGAAAATAAAGTGTTTGTAGATGAGGAGGGGAGGAGGGGGTGAAGGGAGGGCAGAGGTAAGGGGAAAAAATGAGAATCAAGACTTGCCATGTAGAGGTACATGATCCCAACAATGAATGTAACTGTACTGTATCCCTAAAATGTACCAATAAACTCAATAACATTAAAAAAAAAAAAAGCAGACAAAGGTGTGTGTGTCTAGATTTTCAACACTTTAAGCAAGAATCACCATGTTTTTCCTGCATTAACTCAAAGGAAAAGAGACCTTTCATTTTAAAAAAAAAAAAAAAAAAACAGGTTTGGTAGCTCTGACACACAGTTCAAACTTCCATTTTTTACCACATATAGGGTACCGCGATCCCCATGCATTCTATATTCAGTTTTTCCCAAGCGAGTCACCAGGTCATCTGAGGACAATTATCTCTCTGCTCTGGGACTCTCTGTCCTCAGTTATAAACAAAGGCGTGTAATCCCCAGGCCTCTCAGGCCACTGAGGAGAAAATATATTTTAATAAAGCGCTAAAAACCTTGTCAATAAAAAGATGAGTTTATCATTCACCAACACTTGCTGTTTCACAACTGTTTCTATCCCAGGATCTTCAGCCTTAGCGAGAGAGGCAGGGTGTTCTATGTAAATAACAATTCGAATTCGAAGGACTGGTGAGTTGTGAATAAGAAACTGCTATCTCTTCACCACGAAATTCTGGGCCTGCAAGCCATGTTTCCTTTGCAATCTTTTATTAAAAATCTCAAAGTAATTTTCTTCCATTTTTGTGGGGTTTTTTTTTTCTCTCTGCACCTACTTTTTTCCTTCCTGTTATAAGGCGGAGTAACAGCAATTTGTAACAATATATTATGTGTACGATAAATTTTTCCAGCAGCCCAAATTCCAGGAGAGCAGGGATAATCTTTACCGTGCTCACTGTCGGATCCCCAGCGTGTATCCCAATATCTGACACACAGTGATTGCTCAGTGAATGTCTACCAAACTGGCTGCTTAGCCATTAAATGAGATATTTCTCAGCCTTACGTTACTTACTCCATTACAGAGCACGCAGTATGGTAGCTAATCCCACAAATACATCTGGGGGAGTCCTGGGCCCTCGGCCAGTGTCCTGAATCCTCTTCTTCAAAGCACAGACATAAAAATTTCTTCAAAATGTTTAACTTAGTAATTCGTATGCCACGACTTTCTCTTTTTGTAGGTTTCAGTAGTTATTTATTCACTCAGTTTGAGCTTGTTATTTCCAGAGAGGCTGCACATTTCATCTTTTCCTCATGACTGTTTCTTTTATCTTTACTTTGCCTTGAACGTGACCTACAACTGATCTCAGAGATGACAAAAATTTATCTTTGGGTAACTCTTTATGGTCGTCCATGGTCTTAACCACTCTTTTATCTCTCACGAGCCTCACAATAATCTTCTAAATGGAGGAATGCAGATGATATTACCCTCGTTTGTTTTTTTCATCGAGTTTATTGGTACATTTTAGGGATACAGTACAGTTACATTCATCATTGGGATCTTGTACCTTTCCATGATGTGTCTTGGTTCTCATTTTTTCCCCATACCCCTGCCCTCCCTTCACCCCCTCCACCCTTCCCTATTTACAAAGACTTCGTTTCCATTTTTTCCTTTTCTCATATTTTTTCCTTTCCCTTCTTTCCTCTCCCTTCCCCCTCCCACTTCCCCTGCCCCTTGTTTTGCAGAGCAGAGAGTCAAAGCTCTAAAAAGGTAATTGCTCCCCTGCCCAGAGAGGTAACTAGCACTCCCAGCACAGGAACGAGCTCTCCGGCTCCTACTTTCGCATTCCCAAAGCGTACGTGTATTATCCCCGGCTTGTGCTGGAGGCTTGAGGGGGAGAGGAGGCCACGTGAAGAACCAGGCCTTGGAGGATGAGCAGGTCCACCCAGGCTGAGTGGAAACGACTTGAGGCTGAGGGGCGACACTGGCCAGGATCCTGGCTAGAACTCACTCTGCAGCTCTGAATCCTGCCCGAACGCCAGTGGTGCCCTAGAACTGCAGCGTGGGTCTTTCCCACCATGGGGACGTTCAGTCTGAGAAGCAAAGGCATCTATTGGTGGGGAGGGGAATGAAGGCAAAGTTCACACACTAACCTCTCTCGGGTCCATAGTTTCTTTCCATTGGCAGCAATTTTCCCCAAATTTTAGCATTGTGGGTTTCAGTTATTCTTACATGTAACCTATGTAGACCTGAGAAAAAAATTCAACTGGCCTACAATTACCAGTATGGGAAGCAAAGTAACCTAATTTTCAATAGAAAGATAAATATACACAAGAATCCTTTGACCTGTCTATGAAAGAAATACAATACAACAAGGAAATTTCATTACCACTCATCAAATAACACTTAAAATATCATCATCGGTGAAAAGAAAGTGGGGATTCTCAGTCAAACACAGCTAATGGAAACAAGCAGAAAAGCAACAGAGAATCCTTTTGAGGAGCTGTCTGGCGGTGAATGTCAAAGCCTTAAAAACACTGAATGTTAGCGTCTTCCCCGATCATGCCACCTAATAATTATTTCTGTTTCTGAAACAGTCCAACATGTACCTGAAGATTTATACACTCAGCTGCGCTTTTCTGCCACAATTATCACAGAAAAAATCATCGAAAATAACCTAACCGCTTAATAATATTGAAATGTTAGGTAACTTAAAAATGGAATTATGTGAGGAATACAAGGAAAAATTAAAAGTAACATTACCAAGTATACCTAAGAACACAAGATAAGGAAAACATAGATGTTGAAGTGAAAAAGTCAGTCACAGAGCCCACACTGCAATGCGATTCTAGTAAAGTGATAAAGAGATCGATGCAATATACAAAAATGATTCTGTTTGTATGTAAAATATTAATAGATAACACCTACTAATGAGATCATGCATAATTTGTCTTTGCGCTTTTCTATATCGTCCAGCCTTTTAATAAATATAGTGATATGTTATAGTTAAAAACTGAAATAATTAATATTTTTTAAATTGCCCATATTTCTGATTAGCCTATTTCTCCACACTAATGCGATCTCAACCTCCAAAGGCCTCAAAGCTAAAAGAAAGTGACAATCATTGAGTTCAGCTCTTCAGACCAATTGATACAGACAGAGGTAAAGAGAATAAAAAGTGGGCAAGCTGCAGAGAAGACCAGCATACTGCAGATTTCTAACATGCCATAGCTCCCCGCAGGGCTGGGGCTGAAATTTTAATAGCAGAAGCCTTTGGTGATAACCCCATAAAGCTTGCATTCCTGTGACAAATAGCAAGAGTAATCACTTTAGATTTAGAAATGAACTCAAATAAAAGATAATTAGGAAAATAGAGACTCTTTACAGGCATCTAGATGTCAGAGCAATTAAAGGATAATGAGAACACGAACATAAACAAGAACCAGGAAAGAAGCCTTCTGGCTTGACCCCACCCACTGGGCTGGGTATATAAAAGCCCCAAAGTGAGAGAAGGAGACATTTGAACCTCAGGAACCTCATCTGTCTAAGGAACCAAAGCAAACCAGACTCCCAGCACCATGGCTTGCTGCGCCCCCTGCTGCTGCAGCGTCCCCACCGGCCCTGCCACCACCATCTGCTCCTCAGACAAGTCCTGCCGCTGCGGGGTCTGCCTGCCCAGCACCTGCCCACACACCATCTGGCAGCTGGAGCCCACCTGCTGCGACACCTGCCCCCCACCCTGCCACATTCCTCAGCCCTGTGTGCCCACCTGCTTCCTGCTGAACTCCAACCAGCCAAGACCAGGCCTGGAGAACATCAACCTCACCACCTTCATCCAGCCCCAGACCTGCTGTGATCCCTGCCTCCCACGTGGCTGCTGACCTTCAAGGAGCCCGACAAGATGACCTCAGCAGCTAGTCAGTACCACCACTTGCCAAAGGAGGTGAAGGTAGACCAGATGACCTAGGCTTGGGAACGCTACCTCTGCCTCCAGTGGAGAGAAAACCAGGAAACCTCTCCATGATTGTTTGACAGAATAACAATTTGGTTTATTTGGGCAAGTGAATGTCTTCTATTATCAACATGCTGTGAAAATCTTTACAACTTCAGACTATGTTTTCTTGGTGATGTTGCTTCCTGGATCTTATTTCTTGTATTCAATAGTTTCATAAAAATGAAAGAATCTACTGAGGGATTTTCTAATAAACTTTATTTCCCTGGCTGCACGTGTTCTTTGCTTATGTTAGAGTCTGGGGTATTTTTCTTCTATTTAAAAAACAGATAAAGATAATTTTTTAAGTTTCATTAAGAAATGACTGAAACTCACTGAGTAACATGGCTCACTAACTTTTTTGGGGGGTACCGGGGATTGAACTCGGGTCCTTGTGCTTGCAAGGCAGGCTGGCTTACTAACTCTCAATGGGTTCTCTTTCATGTTCACCTCCTGGCTCTTCTTTTCCTCAGACAAACACTACGCTGGAATGTGTCAGTGTTTACCTAATTTTTTCTAAGTGAATCATATGTATTCACTCATTTAACCCTCAAAGTAGCACAAGTGTATGGGAACAATGGGGATTTAAGAGTTATTCAACATTCTCAAGGTCATAAACTTAGTTACTTCGATGACCAGAATGTGGGCTGGGGATGTAGCTCAGTGGCACTGCACCTGCCCGGCAAGGGCAAGGCCCTGAGTTCGATTCCCAATATTGGGGGAACAGAAAACCAGAATTTAACCCCTGCTATGTCCAGCTCTGAAGTCCAGGTCTTTCTATCACATCTCAGAGCCTTGAACACTAATACAGGCAGAAGCTTATTGGACAAGCTATGACATCAGTTTAAGATAGACAAAAGGAAGAAAAACTGTAAGATTCCATTTTTGTGTTTTGAGCCAGGGTCTCCTTATGTAATTTGGGCTGGCCTTGAACTCACTATGTAGCCCAGGGTGGCCTTAACCTCCCAGCAGTTCTCCTGCCTCAGCCTCTCAAGTGCTGAGATTACAGGCCTGCACCACACCTAACCAAAATGTATAAGGTTCTTTAGTAGAAACATCGCAGTTATGATAGAAAATGGGTGCATTGGCTCATAGATGGCAACTGGCAGGCATTCAGTTCCAAGATCTGGGTCACTTCGTGGACCTTCCTATTTCAAGTCATCCTCCCTTCGAGAGAGTTTGCAGTGGGCACCTCTGGTAGTGGGACAGTGGAAATGGACTTCTCTTTGCCACCGCACCTGGATTAGTGCAAAGCTTTCATCACACGCTTGACAGGAAGCTGACACTGTCAGGGGACAGCTGGAGAACTAGAGCTAAAACACTGACTAAACCTGGCTTGCTGTGCTGATTAACTTGATTGACCTGTTCAACTTTATCTCATGCAGATTATGCTTTTCTGAGCCTAGAGAAGGTATGTGTGTGGTATGTTTTCTATGCAATACACCTATGTACATAACACATGCCAATGTATACACACATACAGTACACATATGAAAACACAAGTCTGAAAATGCACTGAGATAAAACTGAGAATATGTGTGGGGTGGGAAAAAGTAGGGCAAGAAAGAGGTAAAGCAAATGCTTTTAAATAGGTATGTGTCCTTGAAGTGTCCTTGAAGTACCTGGCAGTCACTCCAGAGAGAGGCTTCTTAGAAGACCCCCGCAGACTTCCGAAGAGTCAGACTTTGCATGAACAGAATCCAGACACCATGGGATAGACATATTTGGACGCTGTTGATGAAATATTTAGTGAATTTGCTCATTCATTTGTCCAATATCTTTTTTGCCAATATTTTCTGAGTGTTTCCCCTACTCCTCTTCAAACTAGAGGGACAGATTAAAAAGAAATGTTATTCCAGAGGAGAAGGAGGGAAGAGGTTGAAAATGATCGAGATGTGTCATGAGACCAGACCAGTTCCTCCACACAGTAATTAGGAAAAATTTTTCAATTTCACAAAAGAAATCTTTTACCTAAAGGCCCCTCAAGATTCTCCCAAATCTTGGCGAAGGAAGCAGGCAAGTGACTGTAGTCACAACACACGTGTGTTAATTCCTCATGCATGGAACTACAGCGGCTCTGAGACCCTCTGTGGCAGAGGGCCCTGCACCAGGAAGAGGCACCAGGCCCAGCTCCAGCGCCGCAGAACCGGGGAGCAGGAGGTGCGGGGGCCTCTTTGCTCTCAGGATGAAAAGGCGGGAAGAGTAGTAGGAGCCACTGGCCTGGGGGAGCAGCAGTTTAATAAGTCACAAGGCTGTGGAGAGCTGGATGAGTTTGCGCTAGGGAGGCCGCTGGGAAGGACCCAGGGAACAGAAGTCTCAAATGCTGTACTCCTGTTTCTCTCTGCTGTCAGCTTCTGGTTTATGT